AGTTCTCCATCAACATCACCAGCACTGGGGCTGGAACCCACTGGAGCTGACTCAGTCTCACCATAGAGTGGCTAGATGGGTACCATTAACATTTCATTAACGGCTGTGTTTTATGGACAAATCAGGAAGGATCCGGAAGCATGTCACATGGTTACAAAGGTTACAACTGAGAGGAATTGGGATTTGAACCTGTGCTAGCAGGCTAGTTTTTATGTCAACTTAATACAAGGTAGAGTCATCTGAAAGGTGGGAACTCAATTAAGGACATGCCACTGTAAGACTGGGCTGTAGGCAAGCCTGTAGGGTATTTTCTTAATTAGTGATTGAGGTGGGAGGGCCCAGCCCATTTTGGGTGGGGCCACTTCTGGGCAGATGGTCCTGGGTTCTATAAGAAATCAGGCTGAGCAAGCCTGTAAGGAGTAAGCCAGTTAGTAACCCACCATGGCCTCTGCGTCAGCTCCTGCCTTCAGATTCCAGCCCTGTGTGAGTTCCTGCTGACAACCTTTGATGATAAACGGTGATGTGGAAGTATAAGCCAAATAAACCCTTTCCTCCCCTGTTGATTTTGGTTATGGTGTTTCATAAAAGCAACAGTAACCCTAACTAAGACAGAATCTAAGCCTCACTCCAAATGCCACACACTTCCTTAGGCTTTGAGGGTGTGTGGGGAAATCTTGGGTACCCTGGCCCGTGTGTGTGCCATCTTCCCTACAACCAAACCAAGGACAGCCTAGACCTAGGTTAGGGCCGGTGAGGCCGGCTGTTAAATGAGGGCTTGGCGCCACTGGCTCCCTCAATCTGAATCCATGACCTAGATGACTATGTCTACAAGGTAAGGAGCTGGGTGGACACTGAGGCCAAGCTGGAGCTCTGGTCTTCCATGCCTGTCTCTGGTTCCACATCAAGGTGCCGTCTAGGAACAGTGTGGGGTGAGGAGACTAAAGAAAACTCTCTCTCAGAGCTGAGAACCCATAGACATTTGTTCTCAAGAGCTCTGGATGCCTGTCCTCCTAAGGATGGCAGCTGCCCTGGGCACTACCCCACACTGTACACACAACGGCTTCTAAGTTGTTCTTTATCAGTGTGCAGAGTCAGGACCAAGAGGGACAAAGGAACAGCTGAAGGAGGGGCCGAGAGGCCATCTACCGCGTTCCTCATCAGGCCTGTGGCTCCATTAGTGTGCCATTAACCTACCCTTCAGGCCGTGCTTTTTGGCATGAGGAGGCCAGAGGTCAATGTCCAGTGTCTTTCCTTGAGTGCTCTCCAAACTTATTTAGTGATTGACTGGCACAGGGTCTCTCACTGAGCCTGAAGCTCACCAATTCGGTGAATCCAGATAGCCAGGGAGTTTCAGGGATCTACCTGTCCCCCACACCAAACACGAGAGTTACAGGCACACACTGCCATGCCCTGCTTTTATATAGGCTGTGGGGATATGAACTCAAGTCCTGATGCCAGTGTAGCTCAGGCTTGTTTAGGTCACTATGTAGCCTAGGCTGGCCTTGACCTCACAGCAATCCTCTCACCTCAGCTTCCCCAGTGCCGGGACAACAGTTGTGAATCACAATACCCAATTTTAGTATGCTTCCTCTTCAAAGCTATTAGTAGAAAAGAATTCTATAAAATGAAGATGCAGGATGCAGCCAACCACCCCACCTCATTGAAGGGCTTGTGCAACTACGGAAGCGGGGAGGGAGTTGCATGTCTGTGATGCCAGATCCTGGTCTGTGTGCCCTCAGAGCCCACACTGGGTGTCTGAGACAGTAGTGGGCTGGCTGGTCAGTAGTGGCTGGGCACTGGCTTGGGAGGCAGCAGGTTCTCAGGTACAGGTTTTGGGGCATGGTGGCAGACAAGCTGGATGGCTAGAGCAAAGGCCAAGGAGAGATTTTAGTGAAGGACTGTTGTGCCAGGACCCAGGGATGAGACCCTCCATGGCTGTGCTGGGTAGGGTGAGGCCTGGCCTTGAAGACCTCTCAGAACCCAGCACAGTTTTTGAGGGAACTGAGCTCTGAAGAGCAAGTGATTGCCATGCTGGATATTCCAAGTCCCCAGAGGACAAGGAGAGATGACCTACGGGCCCTGCTCTTGAGCCCTTTGAAGAGCTGGGACCATAGTCCTGGCCCCAGGTTCCTTAGCATGCAGATGTTCAGGAGTCCTTGAGGTTCCAGGTTCTGTCATCTACCCAAGAGGGACAACATAGTGGGTGCTGACTTAGAGTGAGGTGTGTGCAGCCCAGCTCCAAGCAATCCTAGTTGGCACACTGCTTCTTAAGGACACTTTCCCTTAAGCAAAAATGAGAATTCTTATCATCCTAGACACTACGAAGCCAGCAAAGTCTTACTGGCCTGGAGTCTGTAAACAGAAACATGGTAGTGGCCTGACTACCAGCTTTATGGAATCTCAGGTAGGGAGGAGGCCAAGCACGTCCATGCCACCTGCATTTCTGCTGTGTGCAGTCTGGGGGTGCTGGGTACCATCTTAAACTCCCACCTCAAGACCTCAGTCTGCATCGAGGAAAGCATGGAAAACCCAGGGCAGCCCTGTTCTCCAGAGAGTAAGCTGTCTACCCCTACCTTTTCCAAAGCCCCCTCTCTACTGCTTCCCCGAGTCTACCAGATGAAGACTGCTCATTAAGAGTGCTGACACCTCTGCAGTCTGGAAAACCACAGGAAGTTAACTGTCACTCATGTGAGGACATTCTGTTGTTCTGATGTGTGTGGGTCCCTGGTGTTATATCTCATGTCTGCTTCAACCTCTTAACAGGAATTGTCCAACTCCATGGGGGAAAAAAACCCCACAGTGATCATCTTCTTTTGGCCAATGAGGTGAAAAATCCGTCTGCAGTGGTACCACGCACTCATCCACTGTGCTACTGCCACTTGGGCATTTCTAGATTAACAGTGGTTCTCAACCGGGACACTCTTGGGCCTCAAGCACACTGGGCAGATGCTCTACATCTGAGCTACCTGCTCAGTCTCTGAACATTTTGATTGTTCAAAATAGGTGGGGGCAGGTGCGACTTGCACCTGGTGGGTAGAAGTTGGGGATGCTCTTTAAACAACCGACAGCTCCACCACAAAGAATTACCTGGATTCAAATGCCCACAGCACTGAGGGCTGATAACCTCTCCAGACCACAGAGACATCCTTTTGGGAGTTCAGACATCAGGCCCCTTCTGCCTGCTGTGGTCCTACTATATTCTTTCTGTCCTTTCTCACGAGTCAGTCCTTTGGCCTAGCTCTCAGGGTGTCTTCAACTCCACTCCCTGACCTTCATCTGGCCTGTGTTTCCCTCCCCCTCGCAGACAGGCCTCTCTATCACGTTCCCTCTTCTCCCCTTCCATCTCCTGAGCTCACTCTGTGGTTGAGCAGGCTTTTCAGCTCAGCTCCCAGATCTTCAAGCCTCATCTTCCCCGCACTGCCCCCACTTCCTTCCACCTTTCTTCTGGCCCTTCTTAGCCTCCTCTTCTGGCTCCTCCCTTTGCCTAACCAGCACCCATGAGGCTTCTCAGGGCTCAACCTCAGACGCCTTCCCTCACTCAGCTCCTCTTATTCCCTAAAAATGAAAACTCTACAGGGCAGAACCAACTAGAACTGTACTGTACACAGGACTGGTGCTGAGTAATTATCTGTTGACTGAGTGACTACATCATGCATTTCCAGGCTTGCATCTTAGAACTAGGTCTCTCTTTGATGCATCAAACTGCTGCTTCGACATTTTACTTTCGATGTTCTCAAAGCAATTCAAACTCAGCATGAGACTGTCTTCACTCGGACACTCTCTCAGGGCTCTGGGCCTGCAGGCTCTTATGGCTCCTCCCCTGTCCCTCCCGTACTTCAACCTCAATCGACACTGCTGCCCAGGCCCTTGAGTCAGCCAGGCTCATCTAGAGCACAGCATCCCCGCTGTCTATCCATCTTAGCCCTTCTAACCCATCCTCCCAACACAGCCAGGAATCTGGTCCCATCATTCCCCATCATGCAGCTTCTAACTGACTGACCTCTGAGTGAGGCTAAGAACCCACCCACTTAACTGGGTTGTTTGTGCCAGTGCCCAGGCTAAGAGACCCTCTGTGGCTGTGCTGGGTGGAGTGAGGCCTGGTCTGGAGGCTGGCCTCGATGCCCTCTCACTCAGAACTCAGCATTGCTCTTGAGTGATTGCCATGGGTATACTGAATCCCTAGAGGACGAGAAGAGGGTGAGTGAGCTCTGCTCAACTTTGTTCAGGTTCACAGCAAAATAAACTCTTGATGTGCATTCCTGCCATCAAGTTCTCTGTGTAGACTGGGGCTCTGCTGGGTACCCAGCTCCTCCACCCTGGTGGCCACACCAATACAGACTGTTCCCTAAACACCCTCAGCCACATTAAAAACCCCACCACCCTGAGGTTTTGATTCCACTGGTCAAGAGGGAGGCCTAGGCAGGTTTTAATAAGCAGACCTAAGATCCACTGCTGTAGAGCATCTAGGACCATTTGGAAGGCTCTTCCACATGGCTTTGTTGGGAAGTCTGCAGGAATTTTTGTCCTTGATCTAGCTTTCACTAGCCTGAAAGTGACACTGGGCACTCTTCTTGGGGATGCTGCTTTATGATGCTATGGACCACAAGTTCTCAGACCTGTCCAAGGCTAGGTTCAGTCAATTCAAGAACCTGGCTCCACTGAACTGGACAAATCCTGTGCTAGTTAGTAGCTAGGATCCAGCCCCTGTCATGTTCTGTCTGGCTCACTTACTTTCTTCTTCCAAAGAACAATGGTGGCACTTATGGAGAGGATATTTTACCAGAAGAGAAATACTTTCTTAACTCAGTTTTTAAAGAAATGCCAAGGACTACCTGCTTCATGTTGGTAGCACCACAATCTATTGTGAGGGAAGAACCTTCTTCATTTCTTCCAAGAACAATGCAAAGTCAGGAAAGGGGGAGGAGAAAGAAAGGGAAGCAGGCGGCTCCTGTGCCACCACATTCAGTGAGAGATTCCAAGCTGAGGCACATAGGGCTGACCTGATGATGAACGGGCCTCTGGCCTCCAGCAGCTTCCGTTCACTGCTGAATGTCTGCAGAAGGTTGATCATGAACTTGTAAAAGTAGGAGTTCATGGTGGGGGTGGAAGGAGAGCATTCTAAGCCTTTGGTACCTGCAGAGAAAGAAACCGAGCCAGGATTTAATCTGATTGTGTGTCTACAGGGTGAGAGACAGAACACAATCGTAAATGTCAGAGGTGTGTGTGTAAAAAGATGGGAGAAAAATCTCCAATCAAGGGTCATGGACAGGAAGACAAGGGCTTTATGAGTACGAACAAGCACATACAGTTTACTGGTTCACTCCTCCATCTATTCCCATAGCACTCAGTGAAGAGCATGGGTAAGACCTCCATTAGGCGCTATGACAAAAACCAAACAGGGCTGGGTGGTGGTGGTGGTGGTGGTGGTGGTGGTGGTGGTGGTGGTGGTGGTGGTGCACGCCTTTAATCCCAGCACTCGGGAGGCAGAGCCAGGCAGATCTCTGTGAGTTTGAGGCCAGCCTGGTCTACAGAGTGAGTTCCAGGACAGGCACCAAAACTACACAGAGAAACCCTGTCTCAGAAAAAGAAAAAAAGAAAATCCAAACAGCACTTGGAGAGATGGCTGTGTGGTTAGGGCATGTACTGCTGCTGCGGAGGACTTGAGTTTGATTCCTAGTACACACACACCACGCAACTCAGAACCACCTATAACTTCAGGGGATCTGACAGTATCTTCGATTTCCATTTGAATCTGTACTCATGTGCATATACCCATACACGGTTACATACATATACATGTAATACAAAATAAAATAAATCTTAAAAAAACAACAACAAATGAACACAGTTCTCCCCACTATCCCAACAAACTAGATACATGTGGGTTTACTTTGCAAAATTAAGGACAATCAGTGGCCAGTCAGGGAATAAAGAGTTTAGATAGACAGCTGGGCATGGTGGCACACACCTTTAATCCCATCACCTAGGAGGCAGAAGCAGGTAGATCTCTAAGTTTGAGGCCAGCCTGGTCTACAGAGAAATCCTGTCTTGAAAAACCAAACCAACCAATCAACCAAACAAACAAAAAACCAAACACCCCCGTCAAAAACAAACACCCCCCCCCCCGTAAGCCCCCAAACCAAACTAAAACAACAAAAAAAGACATTAGGTGCAATTTCTCATGGTCAGCAAAGCTGGCAACCCCCCATGAGGCACAAGATAAATTCCTTTCCTAGTGTTGAGACAGCAAACACTAGCAAACAAGTGACTGGTTTGGATCCTCACCTAGCACTGGGATCCACTGGGTTAAGGTGCTCTTTAGGGTGTTATCTGAAAACCTGCAAAGCCCCGGCTGGCTGTGCAATACAAACAGCATTGCTCTTTCACATGCCTCAGCTGAAAGCATGCTCAGAGCCTCCTACCAGCTCTCCTCCGGCCTGCTGGGTTGTTCTGCTGTGGGCTAGTCACACACCCCACAGGATCCCCCTTCCTTTCTAATGCATGGTGACTCCGCCGTAGTGCTGGAAAGGGGTGACAAGGATGGTAGGATTTTTCAGTCTGCCCAAATGCACTATCAGGACATCTTTGTTAAAAACGGCATTGTTAGTCTCATCCTTGCCCCATAAAGTATGCCTTTCAAAGCATACCAAGTTTTCAGAATATTCTTTGCTGTACAGAAACCACCACTAGCTGTGGAGTACGTTAATTATCCCTCTATTGGAATCCTGTGTTACCTTTACTTCCCAGTCTCTCCTCCAGGCCCTGGAAACAAATCCTTATCTATACCCTTACCTATTCTGGGCATTTTGCATGAATGAATGGAACCCAATATGGCTTCTTTCATGCAGCATATATTCAAGGCTCATCCTGGTTGTGTAGATCCACTCTTTATTCATTTTTATGGCCAAACGATGATCATACTGCATTTGTTAATCCATCAAACGGTGAGCACTTGGTGGTTTCCACTGTGGCTATTATGAATAATGCTGCTGTAACCAGTCATGTTTACAGGTTCTGTATGGATAGTTTTTCCTTTCTCTTGGCTATATACCTAGGAATGAAACTGCTGGGTCACATGGAAACTGTTTGGGTCCTGAGGAATTGCCAGGCCATTTTCCATAGTGGCTACAAAGGAGACCCTCCCTTCTCTGTACCCTCTCCAGCACATGTTATTTGTCTTTCACTATAGCCATCCTAGTGGATGGGAAGTGGTGTTTCATTGTGGTTTGGATTTGTAGTTCTCTAGTGATAATGTTACTCATGTTTATGGTGCTTATGTCTATCTTTTCTGGAGAAACAGCTACTCAATTCCTTTGCCTTTTCCCTAAACTGAACTGTCCTTTTGTTATTAGAGTTCTTCATATACGTAGTTCTACCGGGTAGGTGGTTGATAAGCATTTTCTCCTATTCTGTGGGTCTCTCCTGACTTCTGCCAGGAAAGCACTCCACTACAAAGCTACATCCCTAGTCTACTTTCTTGACACTGTCCTCTGAAACAAAAAATATTTGTGCTGGGGACACAGCTCGATGGTAGAGTATTTGCCTACTGTGTTCAAGGCCATGGGTTCAATTTCCAGTATTTTAAAAAACAAAACAACTTTTGTGGTGCTACAGGCCTCATGCATACATGCCAGGGAGCTTCTATTACTGAGATAGACCACCAGTGCCACAAACCTTTAAATTTTGGTTAAGTCCAATATGCCATTTTCCCCTTTGGCTGCTCATGCTTTTGAAATAGTCGAGTAAGTAGGGCCACGCTAATTGAGGCAGCAGAGACTGTCAGTTTCTCAGCTGGCCTCTCTCTGGTCTAGAAGCCTCTCTTCCTGAAAGAGCAGGCAGGTACTGGCACAGGTAGACAGGATGTAGGGGTTCTTGGAAATCAAGCTTGGCTGTGGCAGCATACATGAGCCTCCAGGAATATTAGGCCAAGTGTATAAAAGAATGTACAAAACCACCGAGGGCATTACAAGTCTCCCAGAGGAGCTGTTGGTGACCAGTGGCTCCAGGGGCATTGAAACACCCCAGGGGTCCTTGTGTTTTCTCCTCATCTTTATAGGGAGTGGCTGGGAACTAGAAGACATTTTTTGTGTGCCAGCCCCCCAGCTGCAGATGCCTTAAAACCTGTCGCTCTCATTCCTTAGACTAACAGATCCCCCCTTTACCTCTAAACCTGCAGCCTTCAACCCCAAGACCTCTCTACATAACCCTCCACACTTCCTAATCCTGCTACCCTAAATCCCAAGACTCTTCTAGACAACATCCTCCATCTAAGACCCTTCTAGACAACCCTTTGGGAATCGCGCTGGGGAATCTTGAGTGAAAAGCCCAGTTTAAAGACATGCTCATTCAACTTTCTGCTGTTTGTAATGCGTTGTTCTAGGTCCATGCTGGGGACTGCCTGGCTGCCATGGTTCTAAGTGACTTTGGAATGGCAAAGTCTTGGCTCCCTGGCCTCGAGGGGCTGTTTGCAGAAACAAGTGTCACATTCTGACAGATCACGTACTCCAGGCCCAGCTGGGGCTGGTCTTAGAAGAAGTGGCTGGAGACACAGCTGTCGAGGCAGTCCCACTTCACCATCCTCACCCACAGGTGGTGCACTCAGTGATGGCTGTCACGGCCTGGCTATCCACCCAGCCCCAGGGACACGTGTACAGGAATCTAGGTAACTGTAAGCTTCTGGGGGGATATCTCTGCATTATCTGGCCCCTGTCTCCTTCCTGCTTCTCTATATGCACCCCTGGGCCATCTCATTTCCAGGCCTAAGGCTACCAGGCTTCAAAGTACTTAAAAGGACAAAGGAACCAATAAGGAGAGCAACCACAAATACACCCTCCTGGCTGTGACTATCTGGAAGCCCTAAGGAGCTGGGTGCTTTGGGAACACTGAAGTTCCCGCCTCACAGGGACAGGGGAAAGAAAGAAAGCACTGAGCATGGTACTCTGGCCTCAGTTTCTTCATCCATAGGTAAGTGCAGTAAGAGTCCCTAACAACTGAGACAACACATGTAATGTACTGGACAAGGCACACCACGAGTCTGTGCTCAATAAATGGGATGAGTGTGACATCAGCAAGTCTCCTGTCCTGGAGCACTGTGTGGGGAAGACTGTTCTCATTTCCTGCTGAATAGGCTGTAAACGCGGGAAGAATTAGGATCCGAAACAAATTCACAGAATTCTATTGGGATACTTCAGGAAAGAAGAGGTTATCTGTGTCCCGCCCCTTAGGTCAGATGACAGACTGGCCAAAGACCACAGGAGAGATGACTTGGGGTTACCCTGGACACATCTCTGCTCCTTTAGTAAGAGCTCTCACTGGTCCAAATGAACTTTCAGTGCCCAGGCTAAATGATGGTGGCCTTTAGTGGAGAGACAAAAAGCACATGGACAAGCGACTAGTTCTTACAGCAGTGTCCTCTGGGAAAACTGTGAGCTCAGTCCTTCAAGTGAGCCCATTGTTCAAGCACCACACACAAGAGAAAGCCCAGTATTCCGAGACTGGAGCCATGTACCTTTCCCAAGACTCAGCTGACAGGAGGCTCAGGTGTGGCCGTTTGGGGTGAGCTCCCCAGAACCCCAGACTGACTTGTGTTGAACGCGACCATCGGGAGCAAGGCCTCTGACCTTGGAACCCCCCTGCTAGGAAGACCCTGCACCCGTTGAGGGTTGGGCGTCCTGGGCGAGAAAGGGGAGCAGCCGGTGCTCACTGGTGTCAGGGCCAGGGTCTGCGAGAGCTCTCGCCACCACGGTTTCCCTTTTGCCGGACTCGCTGACCCCAGGAGCCTTCAGGTCTGCTGTCCTGTCAGACTGGGGACCAGCCTTTGTTCAGACCCCCACAGGCCGGACAGGCACGTCTGTGAATCCCAGCTAGCAGACCTGCCCATGCCATCACATCTCACCTGAAAAGTGAGTTTAGATCCAAGAGGTGCCACAGCCTGCTCGGCATTCCTTCCCTGCTGCCCGTCTGCAGCTTCTTGCTGTGAACTTCTCCCCATCCTAACAAGGTCTAAGAAGAGACCCCCCCTCTCCTGCCGCCTGAGCACCGATTTCCTCTAGGGACCTGCCACGCTGGCTCTTTCTGCTGCTGGGTCTTGAGTTCTCCTTGGAGCTCCCGCCATGCTGCTGCCCCCCTGCCTC